TTTTGAAAGAATTTTTTAATAGAGGGTTTTATATATTATATATTATATTTTACACATAAATATATATAGGATAAAAGTGTATTTTAGATACTTAAGTTTTTGAAATTTATTTTTTGTGGATCAAAAATACAAGGCCAGCGCTTAAATCATTATGAATAATCGTTCACTTCAGTGAGAAAATGGGTCTACATTACCAGAATAGAACATATTTTATTCAATTTTAAATGATGTTACTCTTTGTTTCAAATTAAATATGAATAAACAATTCAGGTAATGTCTTATAACATCCTTTTATTGTTATATCCCTGAAATGATCAGATGCAGTCAAACATCTAATTAGTTTTTTTTTTAATTTTACTGCCCAAATGAGTAGCTCATCATCTTTTGAATGAATTTGATCAATAAAGTAATTGAAAATCTCCTGACCACAGGAATTTTCAGTTTCAAGGATGTTATCATTGAAAGATAAACATAGGTTTCCATGACACTAAGGTTAAAGGTTAAATGAACATTTAGGGTTTTCAGTGATCTGTGAACAACTCCATGATCTTCTCTACCTATATATTATAAATCCTCAATAAACCATACATACAATATGATGGTGTGACATTTATTGTCAATATAAGTTATAAGTATATTTATAATATCTAGTTCTTTTAGTTCTATTGGCTCTACTCACAGAATTCTTATTACAATTTTCTGAAAGATAAAAAGAAATGAAGAATAAAGCCAGTGATTTAATGAGACCTTTCACAAAAATATTTTGAAATTCAAGTACAGTTGAGCATCTTAGTTCCACCTATGCAGGAAGATTATGACTCGACATAATACCTTTCATCACCATTAGCAAAATCATGTTTTTGAATGATTGAATTAAAAATATTTTCAGAAAATGAGTCTAAGTGTAAAATTGTAACAAGAGAAACATTCCTACAGATGTAATACTCTCTTGATTCACTAAATATGACGTCTGCTTTCATTCATTGGTGGAATTTCAGTTGGATTTAAATAGCCTTGGATCATTTCAAAAAATGTTCAAAAGGAAAATAATGGCTCACATATTATTAAACATGCAACCAATCTGAAAAATCAGAACTATGGCTAGAAACCGAAGTCATCATCCTATGTGCCAACTTAATATTTAGATAGTTATTTATAATAGTTGTATGTGTGTACAGGCATATGAATTCAAATTAGATTTCTTTATTGTCAAAATCAACCATTTTTTAACCTCTATTAAATTTTACATATATAGATCTTGACTTTGTGATTGATACTTAAGTAAAATCAGTGTAGGAATTCATATCCATGCCAGTTGTAACAAGTGCTACAGAGCCATACCACCAGAGCCATCATAATCATCAGAAAATTTGAATTTGATCATTGCTATTTTAATTTTGATCTCAGAGAGCTAGAGTAATTACTGTTTCTTTTTCTTTTCCTGTTTTAAGAGTTTTTTTTTTTTTTTTTTAAATCATAGGTCATGTGTGCTTGCTGGAGAGAGAGAGGGACAGAAACAGTGAGAGAGAAAGTAAAAATCAACCCCTTGGGGGATGACCACGCCACAATCCCACTTCCCCATTCTCCTCCTAAAATCTTGGGCATGCACTCATATGCACCCAGTATGAGTTTCAAGCCACAGACCATGTGGGAGTCCAGCGACCTAACCACTATACAATCTATCAGCCTGAAGCTAGAATAATTACTGTTTCTGTGAAAACTCAGCAACTGGCATAAGTACTCAAAAACCTTTCTTTCCATTGCATAGGTTACTTGAATATCCACTTGTTTCACGAACCATATCAATGTCTTCAAATTCATCTGTTTTGTTTGCTACAAATATGGTTTTCGTTCTGTAACAACTTATTTATTTAGAAACATTTTTCTATGTAAGATACAGGAAGCAAACAGATTAAAATAGATACCCTAAACATTGTGTTTGGAATGTTTTATAGTAATAAAGAAGAAAATTTAGGCTTTGGCCAGAATATCTTATAATAAGTAAATATATCTGGACATTTTTCTGATAGTAGAAAACATGATCATATTAAACAGATGAATAATTATCTTTTGTCCTTTTAAAGAAAAGTGGAGAGGAAAAGAATCAACGATCTTGTTCATCTAAGGAAGAATGTCTCCTCACTGTTCCCCTTGGAAGTGATTCCTCCTCTCTGTTCCAGAGCAGTAAATCTCTGCAGCATCAGCAGGTGCAGTCATTAACCACTCCATGTCCCTGCAGCCCGTGTTTATCTGTTCTATTTATTCCCATTCCTGACATGGTGCTGAATCAGGCAATACCGTGGACAGATATTAAAAAATACTGCCTTTCTATTAATTTTAAATGACCTTTTAATCTACATGTAAATTTGAATTATATGAAAAAGCATCAAATATCACCAGCAAAGAAAGAAGAGAGAGAGAGGTCACAGACCAAAGCTTTTATATCTGAGAAACCAGAATTAGGAAGAGAGAAAAATCAAAACAAAAGCAAAAAAATCTTACAAATATAGAACAGCATGATTTGATGTATTTTTAATTTAAGACATCAAAACATAGAGATTATATTTGTGCTTAGAGGTTCATAAAGTACAAAAAGCTCCTTAGCTGTCAATTGTGACAAATAAAATGCCAGGACAAAAAAGAGAATATGTGAAGCCTTAGATTCTTTTCAACGTTCATTGTAAATATAGGTGATTTGGATAAGAGTCAAAGTCAATACGTGTAAATAAAAATAATAATTTTAGCATTCATTAGTACCTTGGAAAGCATTAATTAATTTAACTTAGTGAATGTATAATTAAAGAAATAAGAATGTCATAATGTGATTAGCTAACTAAAAACTCATCTTCTGTCTTATTGATCACATTCAAGGTGGGAGCTCTTCTTCCTCTAGTAAAATAAAATTATTAATATCCATTACAACTGATCATTTAAGCATTAGACTATATATATATTTATACTTTAAAATATTCTAAATGTACATTTGTATTTAGGCTTACATTTAGTCTTATGCTGACAAATGTATAAATATTCAATTACATTTTAAAATACAGTGAATGTGATGTCATTTGTTTAAAATAATGTGCCACTGTATTTTAAAGAATAAAATACATAATCTTTGATATTATTCTATGCGAAAATAAATAGCATTAAATCAGGCAGAATTTAAAACCACTAAAAATGTTATTTTACTTAGTTCAAACTTGGAAGGCAAGGATTCATCTAAATGATATACCAAATCAGAGTTCTGCAGGGTTAATGTGTATCTTTATATTAAAAATAATTATGTTCGTAAGGTAAATATAATAATTATTAATATCGCACCATCAGTAACCTCCAGTTGAGCTTTTGCTAAAATGCTTCCTGCCACAGTTAAGGCCTGGCAGATGTAGTAACCGGCGTCTGAACGCTGGATGTTGGTGATCGTGAGGTCTCCGGTTGGCGACACTGAGCATCTGCTATTGGGCTGCTGGGGTTGGTTTGGGAAAAGGAGGTTCTGTGGGAGCAAACACAGTCTCATCAACATTCTTTTCCACTGGGAAGGAAATTGCATTTACAACAACTATTACAACTTTGAGAATAAGGTTGAAAAAATAAGTGCATACATTGAAAAATGGGTAGTAATAAAATTATAAGATGCCACACAGATGGTTTCACTGGGAAACTTTTTTGAAATCATGGGAAAATAACATGCTCTAAGAAGTCATCATATGTAGTTGAAGGTGCAATCATTTGAATTTTTTTTTTAAATCTGAATCTTTATCTCAACCCCTCTCTCCCTAACTTTCTTATTAATATATCTGAAACTCGGTTTCCACATCTGTAAAATAGGCAGATAATGCTTATCTGATTCAACTCCTAGGAGTTGTGAGGATTTTGCCTGTAACATTAAGTATAATGACTTTATAGACCACAGAGTATCAAGAAGAAATGCAAAATGTAATTGCTGCTGGTGATATAATTACTTGATGGACTTCACTGACTACCTCTTAAGGCATTCAGAAGTATGTGACTGAGACTGACAGAGACAGCCAGACCTACTTCTGCTATTTGGTTCCTGCAGGTCATGACAGCCTCAAATACATACATACATACATACATACATACATAGAAACAACTACTACAAACTAAGCAAGATTAAGCAAATCATTGAAAATAAAAAGATGTAAAATGTTTCTGAAAATGTGTATGCTACCATAAAGAATTTCATTATTTTTTTTCTTAAAAAACACTTCATTTTACTATATATCTCATATTAAATACATACAGATTACACAAATTTTAAAGAGTTTTCACATTCTAGAAGGGACACTAATTTGGATGACCTGTGTTGCTTTTGTACTGTTCAATTAAAAAAAACATTTGGGTATTTTAAATCATAATGAGATATGTTTCCAAGTTGGATTATAAATAAGGACATATCAATTTTTATGTTGTATTTACTTTCAAAAAAGAACATTATAACCCTCTGGGATCTGTTTCTCTACATAGTAATTAATTTTCCAGGTTTGTAATTAAACAGTTTCAATACGTTGCAATCAGGAGGTAATAACATTCAATTAAAGGCACAAGACACATTTTCACCTTAAAATGTTTTTACCCTTGAAGTAATACCAATGGAAGAGGATAAAATAGGGTATTAACACTTTTCAATTACGCTAAATGACTTTAATCCTGCAAATGATGTCCTACTTTAATTAGAAGCTCTTCTCTTTATTGCAACATGATGGATGTCCACTTTATTAGATTCAAGTGTGACACTATAAGCCCACTTTACATAAACATTATCATGTTATTAAACTCCCTCTAAAAGGAGTGATGTTTGCTAGTATGTCATGAACATAATTTCAAAATGCTATTGCCCTCTTATAAAATTTGTATTACTCTGTAGGGCTAGGCATTTTCATACACATGAAACATAATCTGAGAACAAGCTAATTCACCTGCAGAATCCAGATATATTACTGAAATAAACCACCTAAAAGGGAAGGGTCTAAATTTTAAAGCCGCTTGAAAATGATACAATAACTCAAAGTATGCACTTTCCTACAATTAGCCATTAGAATACTAATTTACATAGCACTAATACATCAGATGGGCTTAATTCTCTCTGGGAGCTCTTCCTCTACAATGAAACATCAGTCCACCTTCTAAATGATTCGTTGACGTGGAAAATGGCATTTGATTGAGGTTAACCCATCATCTTCATTCCCTGCTTGTATGACATAGGCAAAAGAAAATGAATTACACGCAAAACCCAGGAACTCTACAGAGCTTTACTTTGCCTTGACGTGCCTGGGTATCCTATTAGTGCTAATTGGCATTATCAGCACATATTGAGGAATATGGACCATTAAGTCCAGACTCGTAACTCTTTCTACTGATGGATAGTCATAGATCACTATACAATTGGATACTGAAGACAGTAAGACAATTTATTTTTCTTAATATTCAAATTCATGATTTGAAAATTTAGTTAGCTCAAGCACTTTCCTTTTGTGCCTATTCACAGCCTCTCCCTCTCCCTCTCCCTCTCTCTCTCTCTTTTCTTTTTGGTGAAGGAAAGAAAATAAGATCTAAGATTATAATTAAATCAAAGTACCTAGCTAGGAATTTTATGTGATCCTTGGCAGTAATATCTTTAGAATTACATGCCATTTTGTCAAGTAACAGAAAAAAGATGCTTAAATGCTTCTTGAATATTAGTTTTCAAAGACATCCAAAACAAGGTCACATATTTAAACATCGTATTTTTTGGACTATAGGAACAATAAATATTTTCTGCAATATCTATATCTTAGAGTAACTTTAGCAGACATAATTTACATGTAACAGTCTTATCTATATAATAAGAAGACATATTAGGTTAGGCTTTCACTCAATACATGGACTTAATGTGTAAATTTGCAATAATCAAATTGAATCATTATTTTTACTATTATAGTTACATAATAAGAACTTGTTTAAACTTTATGGTATGTAAAGCACTTTTACATGTACAATAATTTATTTAATCTATATAAATTGTGTGAAATAAAATCTATTTCTCATATTTAATTTTTTGTAGTTGAATTGTTCTTTATTCATGACAGAGCTTGTGCATGTTCATGTGATAGTGAGAGACAGAGAGTGAGAGAGGAACACCCTGCACAGGATGTGTTCACACCCTGATCCCCTTTCTCTCGTCCTCCAGACTTTCAGATCTTGAGTACTTGCCCATGGACCTGGCAGGTTTCAGGCTGACCAGACTAGAGATTCAAACTGTAGTTGCCATGTGGGGTCCGTTTTCTCCTGAGTTTGCATCAGCGCTACACCAGAGAGTCATCTCTACCCTCACATTTTAGATAATGAACTAAAGTGATCTTTAGTAAAGCTAAATAATATACAAAGAATGTACAATTTATGAGGGAAGAAAATGCCTTTGTATTTTCTCTTTTTTGGTGTGTGGGTGCATGTGTGTGTGTGTGTGCGTGCTTACTGTAGCATTTTGCTTTATGGTCATTTTAGGGTTTGAGATGATTAGACCAAAAAAAAAATTTGAAGCTAAGAGCCAAGCAACGCTTTGAGTAAAAATCTATTTTGTAATTACTAAATGATGAAAAATATTTGGGAGTTAAGGACTGAAACAATTTCGATGTGGGCAGTGTAGAGCAGTGGCTATCAACGTCTCTTCTCTTCTCACCATTACCGTTACCTCTCACACATGACAGGAGGGACTCAAACCAGGGGTGCTGAGGGAGGGAAGAAAGACCATCTGCCCCTGCAGAGTGAGTTTGTTTTTTTATAGTTTTATTTAACTTTATTTGAATTTGACCACAGAGGGGCAGAGAGAGAGAGAGAGAGAAAGAGCTAGTCACTAGGTCCAAGACTCAAACTGTAGTCCACCATGTGGGAGTCCTGAACCCTTAACTACCACACCACTTGAGTAAGTTCTTAAAAGTGCTGGTCTGGGAGTGGTACAACAAGTAGAGATGACGACTGAGCAGAATTTCCTAAGGTCTCTCTAGGCCAGATAAACAGGTGAGTTTTGATCAATAATTTTTCTTAATGTCGCTTAAAACACTCCATCTCTGGAAAAGTTTTTAGATGTATTTACAGTTTGATTAATGGTTTCCATTATTCCCCCAGAAATGACTTCAGAACTTAGACTGACAACAGAAGGTGCTAAGAAAGAATGTCAGTAGATCTCTTCCTGAGAACCCCATGCCTCATGAGGGATATTCTGCAGAGTCTAGAGCAAAACTATTTCTAGGTCCCTTTGGAATACACAGGAAAATTGTAAGGCAAAGCATACAATTTCTGGCGTAGTTAAAGCTGGAAATGCCATTCATTGCCTCAGAATCCACATTCTAAGTGCTTGTTCAAGTGTGGACCAAGTTCTCAATATGAAGAGCAGTGTATGCAGTTAATTTGTTACAGACTCCGAGGGACCATCCTTCCCAGAGAGGGCACCAGAAAGAAAAGTGACACAAAAAAGACAAGCAGGTGCTAGTTCCTTTGGGCATATAATGTATTATTTCTTCTCTAACTCCACTGTAAAGGAATCCAGAAAGGACAATGAAAAAACAATTACTCTTAAGTGGAAACATGTTTAAACTAATGATAAAGATTATTTATGTTGTCTAAGAGACAGAGTTGAAATTGGATTCTAGGCCAATTAATCACAGAATTTTTTTTTTTTTACTCTTTTTCAAGTGTGAAGGACTTTCCTAACTACTTTATGTATACTGCCTTGCTTAATAATACCAGGTAGGTCAATGCAAGAAAAAAAAATTACCCATATGTTCAGAGATCTTAAGTAGCTACGCAGGTCTGGTTGGACTTGTAAAGCTAATTTTGTGAAACTCTTTGTATCTATTCTATCTAAGATGCAGAATTTTTAAAAAGTTAACAATAGCAATCAAAAAACGAGAACATCTGACTTCATTTTGGAATTTTAGAACTCATCAGTCTCTTTTTTAGAAACAAAGTAAAGTCAAAATTGAAAACTCAAGAAGCCAGGCAAAGCTTTGAGAAACACAGAGACGAAAGCAGTTTAGAGATTTTCTAAAAGCAGTCAAGCCTCACACTTACCTGGCTGCCTTCTTTCTGCCAGAAAACAGCGGGCTGTGGATTTCCTTTAGTTTCACAGGGAAATGTCACTGTTCGACCTTGAGCAGCAATCTGATCTCTGGGCCTAACCACAAACTGTGGAGGAGCTATAATTTAAAAAGAAAGAAAGTGTGTAAATATCAACTGTTGACTACAAAAAGAAGAAAGATTTCAAAAATAACATCTGGTACTAGGTGGACAATTCAGTGCAAGAGTGAGACTATTGCTTTTTATTTACTTTTGTGAATTTCTCAAAACACAAAGAGAAAAGGGAAATGGCACTCTATCAAATGTGAGGAAAAGAGTAAACTGATTAGCAGACATATTTTAAATGTTGTACATTTTAAACCTGTGGCCTATATATTTGTACAGAAAAATAAGTCTGCTAGGATTTTAACATATTTCAAGAAAAAAACATGGTTTTCCCATTTGGTCCTCCTTTTTAGATAGATAAAGATAGAAAATACTCATTCCCTTATACAATAATCTTACTTTAAAAATTGACAAATTGGCAAACATCAACAGTTCTTTTAATATTTGTAAGATATGCACAAGCACATGGATACCAGAGGCATAAAATATAATTCCTAGTCAGGAATTGAAGCGGTAAAGACATTGAAGAATCGAAGAAATGGGAACTACATATGAAGATAACTAACAATATAAATGAATGTATGAAAAAATGGTTGACTCAATTCATTTCATTTCAGATAGTTTAACAGGTGTTAGTCGGGCAATTATTACATTCCTGACTTGGCATTAAAGATAAACAGATAATAAGCTGCTTATTTGCAAACATCACAGAGCTCATAGTTTAATGAAAAATCAGAAAGCCAACAACAATGAAACAAAACTAAAACAAGGATTATTTAAGTCTGTGATAAACGCAATGATAGAGACTAAGAGCACAGTGGAGGAGCACTTAAATTATAGTACTTAGAATAAATGCGATAGGACTTCAAGAGAGAGGGATCACTTTGTGGGGCTATAGCTGTGAAAGACGTTGTGTAGGAAGTGAACAGTACGGGGACTTTGAGGAGAGAGTGACATCTAGATAAGTGGGAAAATTAACTCTTTTCACAAACAAGGCATAAGAAGCAAGAATACATCTAGCATACAGTGAAATCTGGTAGGAATGGATGGGCCAGGTTACATAACTATCAATAATTACAAAGGAAACCTTGAGAAGCCAAACAGGAATTTTTTTCCTGACTCTTTCTAAATGAGGAATGATAGACACAAAACAGATTTTGGGATGCTTTAATCATCAAATGAATATGGATTGAAGGGGAGTGAGGATTTAGTCAAGAAAATCAGGGACTAGTACAATGGTGTAGGCAATCCACCCTGGAGGGGTGATTTCTCTCTTTCTCTCTGCGTCTGTCTGTCTGGTGAGTGCACGTGCCCTATAGCAAAAACCTCTCCAAAACAAACAAAAAAAAGAATAGAAAGAATAGGAGTTAAAAAAAAAAAAAGGTGGAGCCAACAGATGGTGTGGTGGTTAAAGGCACTGGATTCCCACAGGGCCAACCATGGTTCGAGTCCTGGACCAGGTGGCTTGCTTTCTCATTTTCCCTTTCTCTCTCTCTCTCTCTCTTTCTCTGTGTGTGTGTGTGTGTGTGTGTGTGTGTCTGGTCAAATTGAAAAATAATGCAATAAATGGAATTAAATAAATAAATAATTCTAAAAAGAAAAATATGAGACAAGGAAATTCAACTCTAAATTAGGGCTTTATGATAAAGTGAAAAAAGAAAGTGAAAGATGGCAACATATATATATAACTGAAAGTTTTTGCAAGGACATCATCATACCAAAATCCATTTCTATTGAAGAGAAATCACTATATATATTCCACAGTTATTTTAGTCCATCTGTTTCCAATTTTTTAAGAATTACTATATTTAACTTTATTTATTTATTCATTCATTTTAATTTTACTGGAGAAGGACACAGAGAGAGAGAGAAAGTGAGAAAGCAAGCCATCAGGTCCAGGACTCAAACAGTAGTCAGTTATGTGGGAGTCCAGCACCTTTAACCACCACACCAACTGCCGGCCTCTCCATCTGTTTCCATTTTAACTACCTGCTAATGCTAAAAAACTAAGACCAAGTATACACTTTAAAATCAACTCTAATTTTTAGAACCTACTAAGTAATGGCAAGAGTCCTAAAATTCAAACTCTAAAGAACTTTAACCATAAGCGATGTCTGGTAAATACCTTCAACCAGAATCTTTCAGTCCTAAAGGAGTGTAGATCCTTGTGTAAGTGCTCCAAAAATGAATAACAGAGTGAATGCAAAGTAACTCTGAACATACAACCAATTACTCATCCTTGGAAGAATGCTATTAGAAACATCAGCAGCATAAGAACCACAAAACAAAACAAAACAAAAACACTAAGTTTTGTACTGATTTATTCTTTGGTGTTCTATTATATTATAAATTCTCCTAATTCAACATATACAACACATACCCCAGGAGCATAAAGAATAATCTCCTAAGTGAAATTTTATTCTGTAACTACAGACCACATGAGACTCACTCTAATAGTATGGAGGACCCAGATTTAAGGATCTATTGAACAGAGTGCAGTTAACATTGCTTTGCATTTTTAAGAGATTACTCATTTCACACAATCTTGCTTTTCTATATAACACTGCTAAATCAGCACATACATTGATTTTTATTTCATATTTTCTAGCAAGAATAATAAACCAACGTTACAAAGTTACATTAGTAAAAACTCTTAACACACTGCGATGTTGACAGTTTAGTAGTGATGTGAAGCTACCAGGTATTTGTATGAAAAAGACTTGAGGTTGGTTTCTATCATCAAAACCATTCTAGAAAAATTATGTTAGCTGTGAAAAATTTAAGAAACAGTGTATAGTTATTTACCTTTTTTGTAGTTTTATAAAAGAAAAGTAACAATGCCAATATGAAAAATGGCTAAATGAGAAGTACTAAGTAACTTGGCTGGTATCTTATTATCAAAAGTTAAAAACTTGGGGCCAGCAGGTGGTTTGGTAGTTAAGGCTCTGGACTCCCACGTGGCTGACTGCTATTTGAGACCCCGACCTGATGGCTTAGTTTCTCACTTTCCGTCTCTCTGTGCAATTCTCTGGTCAAATAAATACGTAAATAAAAATTAAACATACAATACTTTTTAAAAAGTTAAAAACTCAGTTCAGACCAATCCATTATTTAACAGTCTTTTACAAAAGTCACATATTCAAATTAAAGTTTGTTTCTATTGCTTAGCCCCAAAGAATTTAAATTGGTTCATATAACTGGTAAATAAAACCTTTGAGTTCCAGACATTCTATATAGTCCTTCTTTATATAATTTTTAAAATGTAATTGCTAAAAATACATATTTGAAATCATCAAATAAAACATCAAATTAAATCAATCAAAACATATTCTATGGTTTTAAACATACCATCCTTTTTCTGTCGTTTGTTTTTGTACATGTGCTTGCCAGAGAGAGACACAGAGAGAGAGAGGACGAGGGAGACAGGATACTCCAGTTGGCATAGTTGTTTCACACTTCCTTCTCTTCCATTTTTTATCTTGTTGGCATTTTTAGCACATAGACACAGTGCCCAGTGTGGTTTGTTTTTTCAGTTTCTGGGGCTTAAATTCAAGCCAAATTCAGCCGTGTGGGATCCAACTCACTTAACCATGAGGCTAAGTTCTGACCAGTTCTGAACATATTATTTTGTATTCATTTATCATCTATCTATTTCACTAAAACTGCCATCTGTTTTTTATATATAACTGAAGACTTCCTTGAATTTGCTTTTTAAACTTTTGAAAACTGTGTTGTAGAGGAGAGATTGTGCAAAATGCTTCAGAAATCCATTCTAAACACAACTGCTAAAACATAGTTCTCAAAATAAGGGCTGGAAATTGACCATGTCTATCCATCCCCTTTTCTGAATAGATATGATTCATCTATTAATTAATCCAAAATATATTGACTGGAAATGATGAGACATTCTGCTTGGTACAGAAAATGGGAAGCCAAATTTAAAAAAAAATGTTCTTGTCTTGTATCAGAGACATCCAAGTAAATATAGAAATAAATAAGTAAACAAAGACAGCAGAATACAATTTATCTAAGAATTTTAAAAGGGCGCAAGGCACTGGGGGACAAAAGATAGAACAGAAAAAAACTAGACCATGTTGTAAGGAGGGAAGAGAAAAGATGCTAAGAGCTGTCTGTGTCGAAGCTGTGTTTTGAAGCAAAGTAAGAGTTCCCTAGAGGGAAAGCAGGACAAGCGGGACGGGCACTTGGGGCTCAGGGAATGTGTGTGGCACTATTGTTAGGGGTGTGTAAACCACTCTGAGAATAAAAGGAATCTGGATGAAGAAATGATGTAAATAGGTCCAATAATTTATGCTAAGAAGTTTGAAAGTTTGTCTTGACAGCTACGAAGAGCTTGTTGAAAGATGTTTTTGCAAGAAAGATACAGTTAAATGTGGATTTTGAAAAGAAGTATCTGGAAGGTGACTGGAGAAAAGGAAAAGGCAAAGAACTGTAAACCTTAGGAAGTAGGAGCAGAAAATAGAGTGAAATATTGCTATTCATGGTGGTACCTCAACAGAACAACTCATCAGAATTCTTAAATGACAAAGAATTTTTGCAATATCACAACATATTGTTTACCACAGATAAGATCATCTTAAACGACCAGATCATCATAATTTCACAAACTTCTACCCAATACTAAGTTTTAAAAATATTTCTAATGAAAGCTATCAACATTTGTTATTCATCCTATGTAGTATATTTTGATGTGATATTTATTTATACTGTACTTTCATTCCAAGTTATTATAAACATGTTTTATTTGCAATGTATCCAATAACTTCCAGTTAGTCATACTGATCTGGAAAGGAAATTACTTTATCATTTTTAAGTTCTAAAAAAAGGAAACTAAAAATGGTGAAGCATTTAAAAAAGCTTAGCGTATTTGAGTCTCTGCAAATATATCCTTTCCTATTGTTACCTGAATCTGAGCCGATAAAACAAATGACGTCAATCACTTTTACTTTTGTAGACTCTCTTTCCTGCCAAAGATCTATGCTGCAATCTTCTGTAA